TCCCGCATGCAATCTACTACTGTAGCTAGCCCGTGCCAGACTCTCCGCGAGCTACTAGCGCGATACAACGAGTAAAGAAAAGAAAAGCCCAGCCCATCAATTAGTGGTACCGCGCATGCGCAGTTCGCCGAGGGTTTGCACTTTAGTGCTTTTCATTGTGTCTGTTACTCTATATCTCACTCCTCGAACGTCTGTTCGTCCCAGGAACGATACCATCTACCCAACGGGCGACGAAGGTCAGAAAATAAAGGCGGTTTTCTCTGAAAATGCTCCGTTGCAAAGCTAGAGCGCGAAAAAGCCAATATGCAAATACACAACGGACGGGATGGCTTACCACAGTCGGATCGATCCGCGTGCTCTGCGTACTTCGGATGCACCAGAAGATGCAACGCAGGGCGTGTATCGCCTCTCGCATGCTATCTAGTAGTGTAGTTAGCCCGCGTCAGACTCTGCGCGAGCTGGCAAGAGACCACGATAACAGCTAAAACTAAACCCAGCCCATCAATTAGTGGTACGGCGCATGCGTTTACTTACGCGTGCGCGTCACAGTGCGCCGAGGGTTTGCACTTCAGTGCTTTTCATTATAGAGATTTTTACTGCCTCTTTCTTTTTTCTTTTTACTTTTTACTTTCATTAATTTCTATTTTTATACACAAAGATATGTAATTTTTCTACTGCCTCCGTATAGTAACTGTCATTGTGATTGTTTGTCATTGGGTTTGGACACTAGGTGTGTGGGGAGAGTTGGCATACCATGAAAGGTTCTTTAACCCACCGCCCCAGTTCTCAAGGCTGGGCACCTGGTGTCCTACCTTGTTGTGTGCAACTGTGTTGTTTGTGTCTGTGTATGTACCTGGGTGGAGGATGGGAGGTGGAGGGTGACTGCTTGGTGGTTTTGTTACTCCGACTGGCTGAGTTATGTTGAATTCAGAATTAGGCATATTATATGCTTTAGCCATTGCTGGCTTTCACAGATCAGGATGTGTGGGGAAGCAGTAGTGCTAGTGTCATACCCTAGCCGCGATTCAATGGACTTCTGGTCTGTCCCTGTTCTTTCTTTTTCATCTCTTTTTCTGTCAGTTAGCCCCTTTGCGTCGTTCAGTAGGGGGCAGCCACCAGCCCGGCGTACAAAGGTGGTGGACGATAACCTGCGTCCCTTAAAGTCAGGTTCAACCTGTTTGTGTGTCCCAGTTTGTGCTCATGATGCCGTGTCCTCAAAGCCTACTACTCTGTGAAGGGATGCAGCTGATTTGTGTAGTGAGTGACTGTGGTTCTTTACATATTTCTCAAGGTAGTACTTTTATTAGCAATGTGGCAAAATATTCATGATTTTACTTCTGACAATGTGGTATATTTGATAACATGTAAGAAATGTGGGATTCAGTATGTCGGTGAAACAAGCCAGAAATTAAGATGTAGGTTTAACAATCATAGGAATAGATTAAAGAAGTTGACCAACCTTTATTTGTACCGTCATTTCAGTTCAGACAGACATTCAGTAGAAGACATGAGCATCATGCCCATTGAAGAATTAATGAAAGGGTTAGAGCTACATCTCAAAGACTTGAAAGAGAGGAGTACTGGTAGGGAACTTGTACTTACTATCCGTATGGCCTGAATGATGTTCGTGGTTTTGGCATTACATCAAAACAGCATGGATTAGTGGTGTATAGATTGAAGTTTAGAAAACGAAATAGCCGCAAACGTAGAGGAAAAATTGGTTTAACTTCGCACCTTACAGGATTGCTTGCGTGGTTATAAGTCGCATGTTTTTAGTCAGGAGTTTACCGATATAGTTATACCGAAGGTGTTTCGCCGTAGACTTAGTAGCTTTGTCGCGCACACTCGCTCGCGGAACCCCACCACCTCATTTGCGTGCGATGTTTTGTGGGCGGGCGTGAGCAGCCTCATACATGGCAAGGAGGGAGACGGGCTCAAAGCAGACACAGAACATGACACATAACATGTCTTGTGGAAAAAGAAAATCAAGATATCAGTTCTTTTGATCAACATTTTGTACAGATCATGTTTTGCGGGATATATTTCCTATATGAAATTCTGATGAACTTGTTGAAAATCAACAGAAAGAACTAGGTTTCATATCATGTTTTCATATTACTTTTGGTACGCATGCGTGTAACGTCATTTCCATGATTGCTTGCGTGATAGGGAATGTGCTTATTTTCACACACTGTCATATTGATGCGAAATCTAGCCAGCTAAAGAACTCTCGTCTATTCTCTGGCATTCGCTGCGCTCTTCAATACCTGACCGAGGCTGTATATACCTCTTTCCAATCTTCGTGGTTCTAAGGTTCAAGTTGTAAATTGGCTATGATGGCTCATGCAGATACAGTCATTGTGTGCTCGCTCCCACTCGCCAAAAATGCCATGCATTCGCCTACTAGTAGCTTGTCTTTATGAAGTTGGCATGGATGGGGTGTGGCTCTTCTGTGAATGTTGCATAGCTGATTCGAATCGACCAATCAGACTTGCTAGTATATACGAGGTTCCTGATTTTTCATATGAACCTCGTGAGCTAACAAGTTTCATCTCCATGCGTGGCACCCCATTAGCGAGAGTGAAGAAGTAATTTTAAAGAAAAGTGCCTGAGGCTATTTGTTGTTGTGGTTGTCATGATATATTATGCATGCGTACCAAATTTCACCTCCATGTGCATGTCCTCGGCCAACACATTGACATAGAAAACTTTAACGCAACCAGTTCAACGTTTTACCCCATAAAGTTTGAGTTAGAGAACACAGCAAAGAAAGCTGGGACACAGACAGTTATCAGTCTGTATGACTATAAAGGATCAACATACATAGAGGCAGTTTTCAGCACTTTATGAACATGCACCATCATGTTCATCGTATCTGTCGATGTGTGTGCACATGCGGTAGTCCCACAGCTGTATGACTTCTTTGTGGAGACTGGTCATGATCCGGGGTCGAGACGGATGGAACAACGATCCTGAGGAAGACAATTGGTAGCATATTTCTAATTATTGCCTACTACAAACACTTTGTCTTCGCTCTAGGGTATTGGGTAATCATGAAACCCACGAGAAAAGGGAAATGTGTAGATGCTCTTTAGCAGTTTTTCGCTAGAGTGGAAAACTTTGAGAGGGGAACGAAAGTTCACCTTTAACCCGATGAGATTTGCTTTCAAACATGGCTTTCATCGCTACTTCCCAGCCAGCTTCTAACACTGGCGATGACGAGCAAAATGGACAGCTGCTCACGAAACGATGCTAGTCATACACCTGCGGAGCTCAGAAGTAAAGTGCGCATGATGAGTGGCCAAGATGAGAGCGCTGCAGGTCTTGAAGTGTTGCCCTCTTCTACATCCACTGCAGCCCCAGATCCCCTCACAGTAACAGTGACTATTCCAGTCAGAGGCCTGGCCCAGAGAACTATATACCTCCTTCAGACCACCTCTTCGTACACTCTCAGCCTCCTCCTCCAAAAGTCTATGCAGCCTTCAAGTCTCCTCTCAGAACAACACCCACCTCATCCACAGACACTACCTCTCTCAGTACACCAACAGGCAACAGCTCTGGTGGTAAAATCCTTAACAGCCCAGCAGTCACTCAAGGCCACACCTCCCAGCTCAGGTCTCACTAGCTCGACAAGACATAAGCCATATTCCATCACGCCAGCTCAGTCACGCAGCACTCAATCCAACACAGTCAGAGTGACAGCAGAGACTGAGGAGAGCCTCCGAGCTGATAATAACAAGCCTCAAGGAGCAGCTTCGAGCTAACGAGGCTGAGGAGCTGTCTTGGGAGTACAGTGAGAAAGAGCTCCAGCAGTACATTAAGCACCTCCATGAGTAAAATGAGACCAAGGACGCTGGGCAGCTCCTGCTCTGAGCTCTATCGACACTTTGCTCTCAGTCTTGATGACCAATACCTAATCGCATTGATTCATTGCGCATTTCTGTGCACTGACCCATCATATCACATTCTCTAATAGGTTCTTGAAGAACAACAATTAAATCGGTAACTAATGGTAAGTGCCAGTCGCTGCAAATTCTTCTTCCTAAGTAGCTGGATGTAAACAGAATACAGACAGCAACTCGGCCTAGATAAATTTTGCTAGAATATTTATAGCAAAATAGGTAGCTTGCTTGAAGACATTGGGTGAGCATCTGACATTGCACATGTGCAGCCGTCCTCTGCGGCAGCAGAGCATGTGTTCTCTATTCTCTCTAACTCTTTCAACTCACAGCAAGAATCCTCATTTAGAAGATTATATATACAGAGCTTTCTGTGATTCTACAGTATAATAATCGTAGTATAATAATTATTATTTTCATTGTGTAATGTTTGTTTTATTCTCATCGGTCTCCGTTTAACAGAAGAAAAATGGGCAACTTCGTGAGAAAAATAGGTGAAAGCGAAAGCAAAATAGGTTTAAATTATGAACATAAAAGAAGAGAAAAACAGGTAAAATTTTTAGCTAAATTTATTCTGCCACTACAGCTAGCTAGCAGTATAGTATAACTGAGAGAAAATGTTACTGCTGGAGTGTCTGTGCCCATTGCTGTTCCTGTGGATATCAGCCCTCACCTGCTTCACCTCTGCGGGTCAGGGGACCAGCTACTGCATGATGTGGGGCTGTAGTGTCATTCTTATCTATGGCACTACTCAGGAGCCATGATTCTTATGACAAGACTAAGTACTGTAGCTCTCTCTTTCTCAACAACTAATAGCTATAGTTGTAGCTACCGTGTGACAAGGATCATAGCTATAGCTAAACCAACTCTCATGATACTTTTGTTTCCTGATATGTATCTTATATATATAGGCATGATCACTCTTGACAGTTCATCAATTGAAGTGCAAGAGGATAATGGCAATGTCATGGTGTGCTTGGTAACAGATGACGCTATATGTCTCATTGTACACTCACAGGAGAAAGAAGCTGGTATAGTAGCTATAATTATATATGTACCACCACAACTACATTTAGATGAATGTCATGGTACTTTCGCTCTGCAGAAGAAGGCGTGGACTATAAGACTGTGAACACAACACTGAATGTGATGGCCAGTGGTCATCACTGTGTGATTGTCACCATCGAGGACGACAATGTGCCTGAACCTGACGAGACGTTTGGGGTTGTGTTCACTGAGCTGATCCCAGACCTGGCTGGCTGTAGTATGATGGGTCGTGCTGGTAGTGGCGGTGGTGGGATAATGATGAAGACTGACGGCATGCTCATGTCAATGGTCTCCAATGAGACTGTGACTATTGCCATCATTGACAATGACATGCAGGGTGAGTAGTAATGTTTATGAGTGATAGCAACACCTAATAATTTAGGGACAGAATCATACATTAAGTTTGTTGTGTTGTACTGAGTTAAAACGTGACTAGCTAATACTGGTGTGGATATGTTTGTGGCCTTTCATGAAGTAGCTAGAACTGTTTACACAGCGATCAACAAAGGACTAACCATAAATACTGAGCTACAGTTATTTTCACCGTTCATTTATCTTGTGGAAAACATTTGCTAAGTTTTCATAACAAGTTCTCCCGTTGTTTGATGCACACCATACACAGAGAGAGACAGTACTCCAGGAGATAGATCAGCAGCTATAGCTGGAGCCGTATGTGGGTCCTTACTTGCTGTCGTTTTGATCGCCATTATCTGGTGAGTAGTAGAGTTCATACACCAACACTGTCCCTTTCTAGTAAACTGTGGAGGGTTGGTAATAACTACAGCTGTCTTTCAAAGAATGACATGTGAAATGTGATTTCTTCACTGCAAGACAATTAATGTGTGTGTATACTTTCATCCCTGTAGCCTGATACTGTTCAACTACTTCAACAAGAGGAGGAAGAGGCTAATGTTGTTCAGAAGCACTGCCATTGACCACTCTGAGATACCTCCTATTTATGAGGAAATTCCCTTGGAGAAGACACCTCCCATTGAACTGAACACCAATGAGGCTTATGGACATATTTCACACTAAAACACCCTTACACATATTTTATACTATTGTTTACAAAGACAGAAATAGTTGTGAGTTTTTGCGAAATATTTCCTACATGGGCTCCTCTACATCATGCTATGCAGAGTTCATGAGAGGTCAGGATAATGCTGATAATGCTGCAATTTTTTTTACCTGTGATTTATATGCTACTTGAATGATACTTTAGCGTTGTTAGGGTACAGAGTCTAATTTTACCGCGAGTGTGTATAATTGTCTGAAGGTTCTTCTTGTAGCTACACTTCAGTTTTATATCAGCAAATAGTGAGATCAGATCCAGGTGGCATTATACAATGTGAAACTATCCTTTTCTTTTCTTTAGCTTCAGATCAAACTTTTCTTGTGAGTCAATGTAAGATGTGGTATGTAGCTAGCTACTGTAGGGACATAGCTACGTCCAATTCCCTCAGTTTTATCACCAACTGGGATAGTACTCTCATCATCGGTGGCAGTCTGGGATGGACATGTAACAGTGTGTCCTCCTCGTATAATTATATCACCATACATTCACACCTGCTCAGACACTCTAGCCTTTGGTATGAGATGGTTTGCTCTGCCTCTTCTCAACAAAGACAACTCTCCTTCTCTGGTTGAAATTGGTTGAGATTGGAGATCCCATAGCAGTGGAGGATGTGTTCACTATCACTCTAGTAGCCAGGGACTGATGATGGGTGACAGTCATGGCTACTTTTCCTACACACTGGATGTGGTTGTGAATGAACGTCACCTGCTTCTCACCTAATGTGGTCTCTCTTCTCATTTCAAAAAAGGTCGTTGTGATTGCCAAACTCAATGTGCGATAGCTAGTACGATTATCATTATCCTTTATGCTACCAATCCTTTGGATAATATATGGTGCATGCAGGTCTTTTCACTTCCTCCAGATGTCAATGTAAGCATAGCTAGTGACTCCATTGAGGACTTTACAATCGCCTCACATGGGAGGGGCAAAGTCTGATTTGTACTATATACTGATGAACACTTAGCTCTTGAATGAGATATAGCTATGGAACCTCCACTGGATTCTGTCTGACAGCAGAGTAATGATACTCCTCTACAAGTCCTGTGGCTACTGTGAATTGTGCAGGAAGGAGTGAATCGGCAAACATCAGTATGGTATGTCAATCATTATACGTTAGTGACACATCACTCTTTCTTCTCAGCTGCTGTGTGTCCTCCCAGTCCACCAGTGAATGGCATTGTTGGTGAGGCAACGGCTTCAGAACTACGTCGAGCCGGACTGATCCTGATGGTTAGAGAGGCATGAGCTACACTCAATACACACACGCCTATACGCACACATATACAAGTACGCACGACCAGGTGAGACTCCTTCGGAAAAATGTGTAATAATGACAAAGTACACCGTAACGAGCCGCGCATGCGATATTAATGACGTTTGACGATACAAAAAACAGAGTGGATCGTGTTGGCGAGCGGTGAGCGACCCAACTTGGATTTGGCCGCCATGTCTGGCGATGGCATAACGGCCATCGGCCGAATGACTGAGTGGCGCACAGACTTAGCACTTTCCTGTCGGAAAGACAGATCTACCTGTGTCGTTAACAAAAAACAACATCAACATGCGTATTGTACATAGGCAGAACGTACTTACCTACGCTTTCTGCTCGGACATGTCACCGACGACAACTGGCATGCAAACACAGCTGTATGTCAACGAGCATCCTAGCGTATTTGCAGTTGCACCTTGGAACCAGGAAGAGTGTATACAGCTCGGTTAGTCAACCGAAGGTTGCAGGCGGCGCATGCCGTCGAATATGGAGGAGACTGTGCGTGAAGATGTGTATATAAATTTGGAAATAGTTTAGAGAGAAAAAGAGCGCGTACAAAGACGCGCATGCGCAATTTTACACGACGTACCAAACGATAAATAGAAAAATCGGCCCGTTGAGACGGACTAGTTTGGCTACATCTCCGATCTGCGCCATTTTGATGTAGCGTTACACAGTCACAGGCAGTAGGTGCAGCATAGCCAAACAACATGAACACGACAAAAGAGAGAAAGTGGGAGCAGATCCACAGACGCTTCTGGACTCGTATCTCCCCGTCGCCAACCGAGGGCTTAAAGGCTCCTGCACGACCGGCAGAACACTCCCATGATAAAGACTAAAAAGATGACAATGACACATGATACTTCATAGGGAGCATGAAGTGTCTGAGATGTCTATCTAATATAAAGAAGCGGTAGTGAAGTCCGAAGAGATTATAAATCACATATTCTACCCAGTGAGAATATAACAAACTAAAGATTGAGGACGAGACAACAGGGAGAAGAGACTGTACACCTTAGAAGATTTTGTTAATCTCAGCAATACAATGGACATAAAATGAATGCAGAATTGCGGGGTACGTTCCAGGTTTCCGGAATAGTTCATTTCAAAGCGACTTCAATTACCCTGAGGAGGACGACGAGAGTACCATAAAGAGGCAGGCCATACAAAGTAGGCAAAAGGAATTAAGCAAATAGCACTTCACAAATGGAAGCTGCGATGAAGGACCGAGTGAGCTGTTGGCCTTACCATTCAGATCTTGACAACTCTGAGAATGTCACTACTGTTCATTGAGATCAGATGTGAGAAAAGTGACCAAGATGAGTATATTATAGCTAGAAAGCGCAGGACGTGGTTTTTGTTGAATATGAAGGACAGGAGAAACAGGACGGGTATGACGAAGATGAAAACAAATAAGATGAGTCTTTTCAGCATTAAACTTGAGGACATGAGAGACGCATGTAGCTAGTACCTTTGTCTGACCTCCGCGAGCGCCTACTAGCGTGAGTAAACGATATAAAAGCCCAGCCTATCAAATAGTGTGACCGCGTTGCGCAGTTCGCCGAGGGTTGCATTTCAGTGCATTTACCTAACTATATTGTTTTCTACATATGAGTGATTGATATTTGTTGGTGAAAGCCTTTGTAGTGCATAGTCTGCGGTTTCCTGGACACGTATTGTAGCTATAATCTCTTATTAGTCTAAGGCAAGCCCTTTTTTACTATACACCTAGGCCGGCCCATGAGCAGCGAGGGTTACGTTAGTGGTTGTCTGTCTCTGGTCGTGGTGTGTGTGTGAGTGTGTCGACGCTTTATCGGCACTAAAAGCTACGAGACGGCCAATTCGCGATACCAACGGCTTCAGAACTACGCGAGCCTCTGAACAATTACGGGAGATCTTTCCTGGAAACGATGCATTCGAGAGCGACAAACTGGCTCGGTCGCGGCCCGCGTTGTGTGGCTGTAAACCCTGAAAAGACGGTTCCCCCCGTAACATCTGCGTCGTAGTATGGACATGCACCTACGGCCTGTACGGGAGAAGATACTCTGGCTGGTCGGAAAAATGATTGTAGCTACCAGGATGAGTAGCACGCTTGTCGCACAAAAATGAGTCGTAGTACCGGGAAGATTCGCGTTTCATTCGCGCTTTTATTGTTCGGGAGGTATGTTGTTCCGAACAAACGGTTCCTGCACAAGTAGCTACGAAGGCACTCTTACTGACCTTCTGCAGGAATATCAGAATCATATCATGGCAGACTCGGAAGGCAGCCACAAGGACGCCATCCATTTCGACGGAGGACGCCAGCTCAGTCTCGACGGAGAGGACGTGGCTCAGGATTCCACGCCCTGATGGTGTACTTCAAATCAAGTATAACAGGCTTCCAGTTGAAATAAGAAGAGGGAAACACTGATGAAAATATCCATAGAGTATAGTAGTATCTTAGCAACCAAACCACGTAGCAATAGTTATAACTACTGATATCAACAAAGCTCTAGTAGGCAACTGCCTAGCCTAGTCTCAGCCAGTGTGTGAGAGGTAAATAAAAATGTACTATAAACTGGTATATCATGAATAAGTAGCATCG